GATTGCAGAGGTACCAGAGGAACCCAAGTGGGAAAGAATTAAAATCTAGAAGTGGTATAGAAGGTCAGAGGCCAGAAAGTTGAAATGGAGTAAGTGCAATAAAGGGAGGCAGCTAAGGAATCATGGCAGGAGTTTGTTGGTCATTCCCTTGACTACACATGCACATCATTTGTTGGTTATACTTTTACATCTACTTCACACCACAAAAAAAAATTGCATTTTACATTCAATGAAATGCTTTCCCACTCTATTAAAAAATAGGGTGACAATGACAACTTGCTTGTACTCATGGAAAAAGGAGTAATGTCCTTCAACATTTTCACTTCATTCTAAACACTAAAGTAAAACAGAAAATGGTAAGAATTCAACAGAAAACTATTTATTTTCACTTTTTAATGTGTTTCTCCCTTTCCCTTTTAAAAATATTATGACTCATTAAAACTTCCTAATAAAATAACATGAAAAACTGCATACGTTTCATTGCAATTTTGTTTGTTTTGTGGTACTGGGTTTGAACCCAGGGTCTTCATACTAAACTACATCCCCAGACCTATCCCTCCCTTTTTTGATATACTGCCTCATTAAATTGCTAAATTGTCCAGACTAGTCTCAGATTCGTAATCCTCCTGTCTCTGTTTCCTAGAGTGCTGGGATTACAGGTATGCACCAGCATGCTTGGCTTTACTGTTAATTTTGAATGGCAAATGCAATATGTTCTCAAAGTATACATCATCCTATCTGAAGTATAAGCTTAAAAACATGCCAAACTTTTGTTGTTTAATGTATTTATATTTTGGGTTTTTCATATAATAAATCATGCTATATTTAAGCTTGTGTGTTTTGATTTATTTCACTTAATATTACAGTCTCGGGAAACAGGGAGTTAGATCTTTTGCAAAAGGGAAGGAGACAAAGAACTAGAGAGAGGAGGGAAGAAAGGGCAGGCAAGAAAATGAAAAAGAGGAATTAAGATGCATTATGTACATGAGCAAATTCCTCATGATCAATGTAATCATATGTACTGCAAAAATATACTAGTAAAAATAAAAATTAAAAAAGAATAAAAAATAAATTGCTCAGGAGCCAATAAAAAAATGCCAAAATATCAAGTTATACCTGAAACTATAGATGACTATCATTTCCTCCCTTGGACTCTTCTGAATGTCTCAATTTTATATGATGAATATATGATTTCTATAATCAGAGAAAAAATAAATTCAAAGAAGAAAGAAAAAATTGACATTTAATGGGTAAGATGTAACTAGGACTTTGAGACATTATCCTTAATATTCTAAAAGTTGCTACCTTTAGGAAGATTTAAAGATTCAACTTTAAATCACTTGTGGGATTATAGAGTCTCTTAGAAGAAAACAAAGATGGATTTAAATTGGCTGCCTGAGGCATTGGTAGGTCCCCTGGAAATGCTTAGTGGCCAGAGGTTAGAAAGTATTTGGGTGGCAGATTGACTTACAATTGACTCAAATTTATGACCGGAATTTTAATTGGAAATGAAAGCTTAATTTTGGTCTGCCTTCTCTCCCTTCACCACTACTAGTAGTCATCTACAACTGTGGAATATTTATATATTTCTATAGCATAACTGCAGCTCAAACAGAAGATAGCTAAGATTCAAATTAATATGAGGAGCAACAGCTACAGTGATTTCATACTCATCTTCATAATTTAGTATGAAGCCATGTGTCTTTCTATTTCAGTATGTAAACAGAAAATTGTAGCGATACACTAAAGAAAGCTGCTATGATTGGGATCCAAATGTTCTCCAAAAGCTCATCATATTGAATGCTTGGTTACCAGATGATGGGTTTTTTTTCTAAAGTGAAGAGATTGTGAGGGTTCTTTCTCTTTCTCTGTGTTGCCTGGCTGCCATGAAGTAAGCAGCTTTGCTCCAACACACCTTTCTAGTATGATGTTCTGCCTCACCTCAGGCCCACAGCAATGGAAACAGCCAACCACAGATTGAAACCTCTGAAACTGTGAGCCAAAAATAAATTTTTCTTCCTTTAAATTGATTTTTTTCTGGTGTCTGGTCACAGCAACGAAAATCTTGTCTACTGTGGCTTTTTTTTTTAAGACTGTGGTCCCAAAAAACCATGTTATTTATTGTATGTGGAGAATTTGAGAATCCTGTACTGATACTTAAATGAGGTAGATAAGAGCAGAATTAGGAAGAGTTCTTTTTACAAAACAAAAAGGATATGGGAACTAGAATGATTTACTTTTATATGAAAAGTTTTAAATAGTGAAAAACATAGCAAATAAGGAATTATTTAACGAAGGAAATATCTTGAATATTTATAAACATTATTTTAAATTAGTTTCTGCTTACCTTGGAAAATGACAAAATAGCAGCCTACGAGTTCAGATTAAACTCACTATGTAATGTACACTTCCTCTGTTCCAAGACTTTCCATGTATGTTATGTTACTTTCCATAACAACACAGCAGTGTAGGTAGTTACCTTTTTTACATAATGTTAATGTTAAGTATCATGCATAAGGTTTGTACAGCCAGTGAGCTACAGAGCCAAGACGGAATTCCAAGTTTCCTGACTCTACGATTCCTCTTTCTATTAAAACACAATATTGTATTTCTTCATAAAGATACCTTCCTAACAATAAAAACAAAGAATTAAGCAGACTGAATCACAGTAGGTTTCCAAGGCAGGACCCTAGAAATAATTGTGTGGATTGCTTGTTCTAATCAATCCTGGAAGTCTGTTGCTTAGATAGAAACTCTTACATGATAGAACTTTAAAGCTTCCACTGCATTCCCAGCAACAAAGAATTTGTACTTTGTACCTACACAACAATGTCAATCAAATAACCTAAAATACTAATCATTCTCAAGACCATTTAAAAAAAGAAAAGAGGACTTAATTCTAACTCAACCAGTACTGCTTCTTATCAACTCCTTTTAGGGTTCTTAGGAAGTCATTTATTTAGACAAGCACCAGGGGCCCCCTTGCCAGAAACCACTGTTATGGTAAAGAATAAGGCACTTTATTAAAAAATGAAAAATTGGATGAAGGCAACTATAAGATGCCATATTTAGTGGTGAAAATTTCCTCCTGAGGAAATCTTTCATGGTGACTGTGCCATATACTCTTCAAACAGTTCCTTGGGCCAGGGCTTATTCTAGTGGTTCTACTACCTGCCTCACAAGCTCAAGGACCAGAGTTTGATCCCCAGTACCAAAAACAAAAACAAAAACAGTTCCTCAAGTTGAAATCAGAGAATCTGGTCAGGTACTTATCCTTTACAAAAAAAAAGACTCCTCTCTCATTGGTAAAGTTGGGGAGAAGGGTGAATGCTTCACAATTTACTTTATTTCTACAAGTGATGCATGATGAGGAGGACCAATCTATGACAAAGCATTTGGAGAGAGATGAATAAAATGTGGAAAACCAAGCCCAAAATTTTTACCTCTTTAAGACAGAAAGAAAACAGCAGAGGTAACAGAAGCCCCTGATTTTCCCCATGTTTCCTCCTCTAAGTGTCTCCTGTATCTTTTTCTCATTGTGGGTTACTGCTAGATACTTTACAGTGCCTGTTACCTGCACAGTTGATCGCATTCTGAATGGTGGATTACAGAATTCTTTTGAAATACTTACTCCCGATAGGGGTATCTGTGTAAGACTGATGAAAAACACACAACACTAAGTGGCGTCATATTCATCTACACAAGTGAAGCCTCTCTTCAATTTCCTATTCATTGACTATTCTATTTCCTACTTGGACTTTAGGGAAAACTGGTATCAAAGCTCTAGCTGCCAATGTCACTATCTCTTTCCAAGGAAAATTTGAAAGTAGTATTTCTGATATTTATAATAAAACATAGATCAAAAATTATTTGCAAAATATGGAAGAGATTATTTATTATTTCTGAATTTTCACATTCCACAGAAAACTTCAATTAATATTTTGGTATAATTTCTTTAGGTATATGTTTACAAAATTGCAGTCATTTATAGTACTGGGTAACTTCCTTTTTCTTCTAATATCACATTATGAGCATTGCTCATTGTCTTTAACTCTTCTCTAAGACAATATTTTGCATGAGTGATATTTCAAGATATTCTACACTTTTCCTGTGTTATACCATAACAAGCAGCCCAGGATCTTCAGTGCCTGGAACTTCCTGGGAACCCTGAGGTGACTGTTACCATATTCCTAACTGGACCAGAAAATGTTCATATTCCATCAATTATGGTTCCAAACTTCAATCCCCTTGCCCTAAAATTTTAAAAAATAATAAATCAACTTTTTCCTTCTGGGCAAGTTAAGTAGATGTAAAAATATAATTTATAATATTTATGAATATTAAAATATAGTTAATATTTTTATATTTTGCTACACATTATGTTATATTGTATTCTCATACATCTTTAGATGACATGTTGGAACTAGCTACTATGACTGCAATCTAATAGGTGTTATCTACTTTAATTTCCACACCAAATTACCAAAAGGTTAAGGTTTCCCTCATTTTCTAACTGATAGTAACTTAGCTAGCTAAAATTCAAAAAAGTTTAAGTAATTTAAAATGGTCATACTGAAGATAAATGATATGGTATCAAATTTATATGTTACCTTAAATTAGACCCAGCTTTATTATAATAAAATTCTGTCTCAAAACATTCATTAAAAAAGAGATTATTATACATATATATATATATATATATATATTTATATTTAAAAGTAGTTTGTCCTAAGATTATATGTAATTAGAGGCTGGCATTTGTCACCACAATTCCAAATCTCTACTGCTGTATGATGCTAAATGGTTCATGTACTGCCTATCTCTCAACAACTTTTATCACTAGTAAAATTAATATTATAATTCTGCCTTTGCTGATTCTGGGGGGGGGGTTGAAAATCAAAGAAAATAGTGAAAGTGACTTCATAAATTCACATCAGAAGTTCAAATTTCCCTAAACTATGTTTTTATGTGAATTCTGCAGGTGATATGGATACACAAAGATGGGGAATTATTCTGCAGTGGCTGAATTCTTTCTGATGGGGCTTTCCCAATACCCAGAACTCCAGCTCTTTCTATTTGTGCTCTGTCTCATCATGTACATGATAATCCTCTTAGGAAATAGCCTCCTCATTTTCATCAGTATCTTGGATTCTCGCCTCCACACTCCTATGTACTTCTTTCTTGGAAACCTCTCATTCTTGGACATCTGTTATACATCATCATCAATTCCTCCAATGCTCGTTATATTTATGTCTGAGAGAAAATCCATCTCCTTCATTGGCTGTGTTCTGCAAATGGTTATCTCCCTTGGCTTGGATTCTACTGAATGTGTCCTCCTGGCTGTGATGGCCTATGACAGGTATGCAGCCATCTGCAACCCATTGAGGTACCCCATCACCATGAACAAAGTGTTATATGTACACATGGCCGTGTGGTCTTGGGTCATAGGCTGTCTGAACTCCTTAGTGCAAACAGTCCTGACAGTGGTGTTACCTTTCTGTGGTAATAACGTCATTGATCATCTTACCTGTGAGATTCTGGCTCTTCTTAAACTTGTATGCTCAGATATCTCCATAAATGTACTTATTATGACAGTGGCAAGTATTGTTTTATTGGTGATTCCTCTGCTGTTAATTTTTGTGTCCTATATTTTCATTCTCTCTTCCATCCTGAGAATTAATTCTTCTGAGGGGAGAAAGAAAGCCTTTTCTACCTGTTCGGCCCACCTGACTGTGGTCATCTTATTCTATGGTTCAGCCCTTTTTATGTACATGAAGCCCAAGTCAAAGTTTACCAAAGCATCTGATGAAATCATTGGACTGTCTTATGGAGTGGTAGCCCCAATGTTGAACCCCATCATCTATAGCCTAAGGAATAAGGAAGTGAAAGAAGCTGTAAAGAAAATCTTGAGCAAAAATTTGCATCTATGGAAAACATGAAAGGCCTTCAGGCTTGTAATATCCTTAGTATGAAATCAGCAGGCATTTTATATGTACAGAGAAAGTCTGCTTGTAAGGCCAAAGATGAGAGTCCCATTCTTTTCTTCACAGAATGCTCATGAAACCTTCTGTGTATTGTTTTGTATGCAATTTCTAGTTGTACGCAGCCCTTCTACTTGGTCCCTATATGGCTTTTTTTCAAGTGAATCTCCTCTCTGCTTTCTGTTCCCTTCCCTCTTCTATTTCTCTTCCTCTTAATTTTTGTCTTCTCCTTTACTTCATTCCCTTCTTCTTGTGCTTCTCTTCCTCATCTTTCATCTACCTCTTTTCTCTTCCTTCCTGTTGTCTTCTCTGTATCCTTTCTCCATCATTTTGAACTGAAAACCTATTGGGCTTTTTTGTCCAGCATTCCCTCTTCTGACAAAACAAATTATTTTTTTCTTTTAACAAAAGTCCTTTCTTCTGAGTCTATATGGTGCTGGAGGAGGCTAACCCAAACTTTTGATAATAGGGGTAAAACTAAACATAGGCCTAGACAGTTAAAAATCAGATCCTCAAGCCATGGTCATTCATTCAGCATAGCAAGTGAATCAAGTTAGGTTAATTAATTCAATCCAAGAATGCTGTTCCAGAATGAGAAAAGAAACAATCTTTCTGATTGAGTAATTAAATGAGTAGATGATGAGCCCAGAGGCAGTCTTTGTACCTGGATCACATGGAGAAATCCTAGCTGAAAGGCAAAATGGGGAGTTGTGGAGAGGGAAGGGGGTGTCTGATGCTATTATTTTCACTCTTTGATCCAGGTGGGTCTACAGTTAAATTTACAATGATTCTTTTCAATTACATGAGAAAAATAAATTGAATTTCTATATGAAAAAGCTAACTTTGAATTGGATTATCATTTACAATCATATAGTCCCAACTAAAGAATTTCTTGCCACCCCATTCATATTTTTGAGACAAAGATTTATGAGGCTATAATATTTAGGTAGTCCCAAGTCCTCCAGCATTCATCAGGTTGCATTTCTTTTAATAACTAAGTTATAATAATCTAATTTCTACTCTGCATGCAGGTAGGCATACCAGTCACCTCCCAATCACTCTGAGGAGTGTTTACATTTTTCTAGATTCTAGTTTTCACTTTTTCTCCAGACTATTTTTCTAACTTCACTATCATCCCTTTCTGTTAATCTTGTATGCTTCTATATTGCTTAAACTCTTAACATTACATTTTTCCCTCAAGCAAGAGATATAAGTCATACCTCTTCCTATTCAAAAGGCCACTGTATTTAATACCGTTTTTAGGCTTGAAAATAAGATAAAGGGTCTACGATATAATAAGAAAAAGAAATAATTATAAAATAATCACTGTTCTGATATCTATTAGCCATACCCTTCACATGCCCCTCTTAAATCCATTTTCCTCTTTAGGCCCTTTGCTGCTACTAGGCTGAAAGTGTCTATTAATTTTTAAAAGAACACCACCAGGAAATGACTTTAAGATATTGAAGTCCAAACTATAATCACCATGAGTGATGTGTTCTGTTTGAAAATATAAACTCTATACTTGCAATTTGTGAACTTTCAACAAAAAGCCAAAGAATGAAAGAGCACAACTTATTGCTTGCTTCTCATTATGAATATTAGAAATATCACTGTAATCCTTATAAAACTATGATCCAAATATTTTGTTCTTAAGAACCATGATTGGAATCAAGAAATCAAAGTGCTTTTAACACCCTCTATTTGAGTTTCTTAAAAACTCCAATCCCACAGCAATATTTCTAAAAATTCCTTTGCATTTCAGCTGCTTGGCAGTATCTCTTTCCCCATCTTCCTAATACCCAGTCTGCCTACTGTTTTCACCTTCCCTTCTCCTATCTCACCTTTGATTGAGACAGTCTTTTTCATGGAAAAAAGAGTCTGCCTCCCTAAAGCAAAAGATTTAGAAAAGGAGGTTTTAAAGGAATTGAGAAATTCCTAATACACTAAATTATGGGTCAAACATTGTTGAAATTCTCAAATTAAGAATTTTTGTTCTACTATAATATTTGTCAATTTTATCTCAACTCTTCTTTTCATCACATTTCACATATGTCACCTTTCAACCATTCTATCGGCTCCTCTAGGAACCTGTTCCTTTTCCATTCTTCCATGCATTTTATAGTGTGCCTCTATTAAATTTCTTATTATATTGTATCATATTTATTTAATGTGACATATTTGAAAAGTGGGGGCATAGAGTTCAGAAAGAAATTACTACAGACTTTAACTCCATAGTTTGATAGGATTATAAACATTAACCTATCAGAATCTATATTTCTCTGGATGTAAAATGTTGAATTTAGTCTTGCTCACAAGGTCTTATGAGAATTGAATAAAAAATGCAGAATGTTTTATTCAGTGCCTGACTAATGTTATGCACTGAAAAATATACGTTCCTTTTACTTTTCCTCATACACACTTATCTCTTCTAATAGACTGTGGATTCTCTAAAGCCAAGATATTAAAGTAATATTTATTTGAGTCCTTGCTATTCAGTAAAAAATAGGCATTCATTATTAATTTTGCTGAATGAATGAATGAATCTTATAATGAAGGTAAATAAGTTTGTCATTGCCTAAATAATCATTAACATTGCCCCTCTTATAACTTATCTTTTATAAGTCAAGATGCTTCTCAAATAAAAGTCTCCTCTACTCAAAGTCTTTTTTATCATCCTACCACTACTCTACTTCTTCTCCAAGTTAAATTCCTACAGTAATGTATTAAGTCTTTAGAGTATTTAGTACGTAAATACTTATATTTTCTCTAATTATATGTACAGTATAACTATTATTTTATTGAAAGATCATTCAGGGAAGAGCCTATAAGTTATTTGGCTTTGTATCCCCACAAATGGCTTCCATCAAAAGACTCATTGAATCATTCATTGCATTTTGCTTCATTGTATGAAGTGTATTTGTTTTTCAAAGAATTTCTTTTCATGAAATATGGGCAGTTCACTGTGATATATGTAATATATACAACTGCAGCAATAAACCCAGTTAAAATAACTCCCTCTGTTGTATATATGTTTTTTGTTGTTGTTGTTCTGAGAACTGAAAGTTTGACTGTAACAGATTGGCAGAGTCCATCTAATTCATATACATAGTTAAAATCCCTGAACCAACTTATAACTTGCCAATGCCAAAAATAAAAAGATATTAATATTCAGAATAGTAACTTGTATGTATCTCTAGCCCTTAGATTTAGTCTAATAGGCACTTTAAATATAACGTGTACAAGATGGAAAACTTTGATTTTCCTATGCTCACATTACTTTTTTTTCCAGTACTGAGGACAGAACTCAGGGCCTGAAAACCCTAGGTGCAGCTGAGAATGCAGCTCTCCCCTTTTTTTAATGTTTTATTTTCAGATAAGGTCTTGAAATGTCATTAAGTTGCCCAGACTGTGCTCAAACTTGTGAACCTCTTGCCTCAGCCTCCCAGAATATTGGAATTACTGTGTCACCATGCCCAGTGTTAAACTATTTTTTTCTCAAGTTTTCCCCATCTCAAGAAGTAGAAGCACCATGCATATATGTCTAACCCATCAGAAAATTCTATCAGTGCTATATTCAGAAGTGACTTTGACTACTTCCATTACTACCATCCTATTCTAAGCCATCATAAACTCACTTAGGATAACGGGATGGCTTGCCAATTCACTTCCCTGATTCCACTTTTATTCTCCTACAATCCTTTCTTTTCATAGCAGTCAGAATTGTTTTATAAGAGCAAATACTGAAGTTGTAGACAGGTAAAAACTAATCAATGCATTTTAAAAATCAGAAAATGGAAAAACATCAGAAAATTGATGCCAGGGGTAGATAGGGGGCTTACTGTGGGTTTCAACTGGGATGGTTCATGAGGGAATTATTCTCAGATTATGTTAATGCTCTCTATCTTGACAGGGATTCAAGTGACACAGAAAAACATTTGTCAAAACTCTGAACATTACATTAATACTTGTGAATTTAAAATGTGTAGATTTTAAATTAAAGAAAAACTAAATAAATATTAAACTCTAGCTGATGGCATACATGCTGAAGTATTTAGAGAAAAGTGTAATGATATTTACAGTTTACTTAGAAATGAACTAAAATGGATTTAATGGTGCAATAGAGAGATGAATAGATACAGAGATATGAGATAAACAAATCTAGTAAAATGTTAGTGGGTGTATATTTTTCAATATAACATTTTTTCAGTTTTGCTTTATGTTTGAAATTATTCATAAAATGGTACTAAAATAAATTACACAAAATTTGTCAGGAATATAGCTCTTCAGGAACATTCATTCAAGAGAATTCAAGTTACAGTTTTGTGTCCATGAATGAAACAAGGGTAGAAATTGGATCCTCAAAAGATATCATTGTAAATTATCTCAAACAGTATAGGAAAAAGTTTTATTACTTTAAAAAGGTAAAAATTTTAATCAGTTATTTATAACTCTTACAAGACAGAAATTGAAAATAAATTTTAATGATCCTTGTGAAACTTAATTTCTTATACTGAACTCTTGTCAGTATTCCTGGAGGATGAATGTAGAAGGAAAAGGTAAGAGAAAAAAGTTAAAAAGTATGTCAGAAAATTTACCAGAATCAAATTCAAAGATGATAAGGAAAAAAGAAAACAATACATTTCTTTGGAATGATGTGTTGTTTCTATATTCCATCATGTGTATTTTTTGTTATTTATGATTAAGACTATAATCTATACATGTTAGATTGTAAAGACTTTAGCCAACAAAAGTTAGTTCTTTCTAAAGCATTATTCGGCAATTCCACCTTTTCAGTACAAGTAAAGCCCGGAAAATTTTTTTCTTTTATTGGTACATTTTAGGTATACAACACAATTACATGGCTCATTGGGAATAGTACCTATACATAATGCATCTTGGTTCTTATTTTCCCCCAATTCCTAGCCCTCCCTTCACCCCCTCCACCCTTCCCTATT